TCTGATCTTTCCCCTTTTTTGAAATTAGACATTGGCACAGCCTTCAATATACAGCCAACTCTTGAAGTTCAAAGTAGTGAGACTAATTTTTGAAGCCCATTTGAACCAGTTATTGTCAGAGATGTTTGCATATAGTGAAATAAACCCAACTTGATACATAAGTAGCATTATTAATTAATATAAAGAACACAGCATAGCATAGTGGCTAAGATTGTAGGCCCTATTTCTTCTAAGGCTTATTTCTTAAAATACAAAACCCAGAAACCATAAAGGAAAAAATTGAGAAATTCATCAAAAATGTAAATTTCTTCACTGGAAAAAAAATTTTCACAAAGAAAAAGTACCAACTGGAAAAAAAAACATTTGCAACTCATATGATAGATAATGGACCTCTTTTTTTCCACATACAAAGAGTCCTCACAAATCAATAAAGAAAAGTTTAATTACATGTACCAGAAAAAAATACAAATAGTTTATGTATTTATTAGATAGATGCAAATTTAAAACAGCAAAATACTATTTTTCACTTACTGGATTAGCAAAGATAAAGAGTTTCCAATATATAGCACTGATGAGAATATGGAGAAATCAGAATTTTCATAGTGGTAGGTAAAAATGTAAATGATTGCAACCTCTCTGGCCTTATCTATCAAAATTTTAAGTGTGCATTTTTACTCTTTGACCTAGAAATTCCATTTCTAGATATTTGTCCTACAGGTATATTTGTACATGTCTGCAAAAACTTAGGTATCAGAATGTTTATTGCAGCAATATTTGCAATAGCAAAAGATAAAAAAAAACAACTTAAATGACTTTCACTGGAAGAGTGGGTAAATAAATTGTGTGAGGGCCGGCCCAGTGGCTTAGCGGTTAAGTGCGCGTGCTCCACTACTGGCGGCCTGGGTTCGGATCCTGGGCACGCACTGACGCATCGCTTCTCTGGCTATGCTGAGGCCGTGTCCCACATACAGCAACTAGAAGGATGTGCAGCTATGACATACAACTATCTACTGGGGCTTTGGGGGGAAAATAAATAAATAAA